TAACTAACGGCGTAATTTCTTCTACTCGGTGATGTATATATGTAAGATTTTACGCCAGTAACCAGCGGCGTACTTTCTTCTAGTCAGTAATGTATATACTGTAACATCATAACCAAAGCAATAAGTTTGCCTCGAGATGTTGAGCGAAGAGAAAATGGCTCAATGTTTTTTGAGACAAACTATTTCCTGAAGTTCGAACGAATCGAGTAGAAAGCACGAAAACATAGCGCTGAATTTGTACCCAATTCATTGACCAGCTCCCAGTTGGCTTGTTAGCTCAATTGGTAGAGCGCTGCACCGGTATCGCAGAGGTCATGGGTTCAAATCCCGTACGGGCCTGAATTTTTTTCAGGTCCTATTTACAACTACTAGTTTCAGTAGTGTTCTTAGTTCTCAGTGCAAATATGTGAATTTTCATATATCTAAATTCTTTACTCTTATTTTGTCTTAAAAGTGTCCCGTGGACTGGTAACGAATTAGCGGGTGACACGTAAAAACTGTGAAAACTCTCAGTTAACACTTACAAATCTCTCACATTTCTTGTAATTTTGTATCAATCAGCGTTGAAATACTCTTGAAATTATGACTGATAGCGACGTATACCCTACCTTCAGCAAATTCTACCGAGAGTTGTGATACATCGTACTCAAGTAGCAAAGAAGAAATGGAAGTTGCGAGTACGGTTCAGCCCTACGAAGTTTCTCGCCTGCAGTTTTCAGGTCAAGATTAGAACAAAAACTCCCGTAACTAAATGTTTAGTTTGTTGCTTTTGTGTTTTTTGTCTATGGCTAAATCTATGTTAAGAATGTGCAATGCCTAACCGTGTGCCCGTGGTAGGCTGCACTGAGGCTCGACACTCGAGTATGAGCACTTCATTATCGTCTGGCGGTATCTCTAGGCAGATAATATTTCTCACAGGCAGCGCGACATATACTACACACAGTTTTACTGACGAAAATTGCGGCGGAGACATTAAGGTCGTGAAAGCATACGGGAAGTTTCCAGTGTAGGAAGTTGGACTGATAAGTTGATGATTCTCTCTAAAACATTCCCTGCAATTTTTATAAACCAAAACCACCTTAGTGGAATTTTATTGAATTCGGGGCTTATCATTGCTAACCCTTAGAGACAAAATGTTTGCCATTTGTTGCATTTTTCTCAAGATAGCATGAAGTGTTAGTTTGTTGACCAATCCTTTATTTATTACGAAACAAAAGTATCAACTGTTGTTCAGCGATGACTTGCAGATGAGAAAATTTTCTGACCTCTCAATTGTTATAGATAGTAAGAGAGCTTTTCATTAAGGTTGAAAATTGATGCCACGTACGTTATCGCTGCTTCCGCTCTTTGGTGCTGTGAACGAAAATTTTTAACTCGTAAGCTTTCAAATTTTTTTTCGATTCTGAAACAACAAATTAGCTTAAACTGAAGCATGAGCAAAAGGTTTGAAAGTTTAGTTTCGAGAAAACTTCCTGTATCTATTTTTGGTTTTTGGTTTTGCTTCATTATTGTAACAAAACCTCAGTACGAGATATATGAAGCCCTTCCAGGCAAAAGACCTTTTTTTAGTCTTTGCTTCAGATGGATAATGAAATAAGGCGTCCACTTCAAGAATCCTTTAATTTTCGACAGATATTTTTGGCAAGATTTTTTTACATATACGAAAGCAATTAAAATCTTTTGTCACAATGACGCTCTGCCAATGTGCAAGATCTGACCCAGTTGTAATCAACAAGCGAATGTATGTCTAATATATGGAGAAAAAGTAATGTGTAGTCTTACTGACTACTTTCATTTCCATTGGATGATTCAGTTGTTGACTGTTATACCAAATAGTGAAAATAACAAAAAGGAAACAGTACCGACGCATTACCACAGTTTCTTTAGAAAATTGCTCTCTTTATTCACTCACAAGTTAGTTGCTCGTGAGGCAAATTGAATACATGAACACAGCAACTTAAAAGTGCAAAAGGAATAAAAAAACAGAGAAACTTATTAATCACATCAGGTTACTTAACAGAAAAATCGGTCTGACGTTTATCAGGTCATAAAATCTCTTCTAAAATCGACCCCATTCGTTTCTTGGCTGACAGCGATGACTAAAAGACTTGTGCTAAGCTACTTGAGTTAAAACTAAAAGCTCAGAATAAATGAAAATTTGCAAAATGACCTGGTTATTGCCAGCTCTGTCATCCACCTCGAAACTCTATTTCCCATCAGTAATACTGTGAGCCACATCACTGTAAAAATCCTCAAGCGAAACATGCAATTAACTTCGTCTTAAAATTATAATATATTAACTTGAAAATAGGTAGACTACGAACAGTCCACAATTTTTGGCGAAGTCCTTCGCGCGAGTTATGAAAAATGTCAGTGATGTTATCGCGCCGCGCAGAACTCTGGGTTGAGGTACATGGAAAGTTGATGTCATTTTTTGACGCCGTACATCCAGAGCTCCGCGTGGTGTGCTGTCATCAATTTCTTTTTTAGCACTGATTTTTTTACTCCCCCGTCAGACTTCGCCGAAAAGGAGGAAATGCTCGTAGTTTAGCACATATAATGGATCACGAGAAACAACAAACATCATCTGCTAAATGGTGTTCTTGGAATATTACACCATATTCTAATAATTTGTTACTAATGAAATGTATGGAAGCCGAAAGAAAGAATTCGCTATCGGATCTTACGACGTTTCACTGGATTAAACCTTTTTTATGCGCCCACCGGTTGAGAATTGTTTTGAACAAATCGCTCTTTTGAGAGATAACCACCAAACCACCACTGAGTTGTGGCATCAGGCGTTGCGCTGCAGCGGAATTCACTGCTTATTCCGTCTCCGTAGTAACCAAAAAAGTCCACAAGTGGATCCGCTTTATAAAAAAATTCACATGTGGTATTTTGGCTGTCTGTGTGGAGGATATACGAACCAGGATTTTGCCAGAATGCCAGAGTGGTGCCAGTGCCCGCGGCTTTTCCGCGAATGTTCACATAGTCGATGGGAAAGCAAGTTTGCCCACCTTGCCATTCAAAGATATCCAAGTCTACGAACCTTCCCCGAAGGTAATCTTCGTAATCGATCACTTCTCTACTGTTGATATCGCACGTTGCTCGCCAGTGTGTGGACTGACTACGGATGGATTTCATTCTTGCAAGTGTCTCACGGTAAACAAACCAGTTTGGACTGCCTGCGTTGATTGGAGCATCTTCTGCGAACACTTTGGTTTTGAAATGAGGCAAATCCCGGAATTTCGCAGTCTGCCAAGACATTACTAGGGTCCATGCGGAGCCCAGCTCGGATGACAGATCACAATAAGTCATGTATGGATGGCTTTGGTCATCAACAAGGACATAGAAGCCATTCTGAGTCAACCCTCGTTGTAAGTAATCCAGGCAAGATTTGGGAAGGAGCGGCTGTATAAAATAAAACAAAAAGTAATGCGAAATGTTTTATTTAGAGGTTTTCTCGATCAGCTATCGATACTTCAAAAGTTTTTGGCTATATTATTGCATGCGAGAGACCAAGAGGATTGTTTCAAACGTATGCAAAAAAAGCCCTCGTATTTGAAACGATTAACCTGTTGGCGACGACTCGACTGATCCCTCCTCCGTTTCCCCCTAAAAACCATTTGATTCCCCCCAAAATAACCACTTCCCCTTTTCCCTCCCCTTTCCCTCGGCGATAAATAATGACAGGTCTTTAAGCTTTCCTTTTTAGAAGCAATGGATCATTCTAACTTTTAAGCGGAGCCTTATTACTAGAGCAGCGGGTCGAGCGTTTCTTCGCCCGCGAGTAGGTTTACGGCTTTGAGAAAAGAGAGCCAGCGAATGGTTTGCAAGAGGTCTGGAACTAATAATGATCAGTGCACGTCCACTTGATGACCTAACGCCGGCTACCCTTTCTAAAAGCCTCGAAATTATTTTCGGGCGAAGAAATGCCCTTTCCGAAACGCTATTGAGGTTCTTCTGCTCGCGTTTCAGTGAAACGCGAGTTGTAGAACCTCTTTCATTTTTATGCATGTATTTGGTTTTTTTTCTAGCACGTGATTTATGCCTGGTTCGCCCCTGAAACATGCCCCACTCGCCTGAAAACGCAACAACAATTGCTACAACAAAAATGACAAATAAACAGAAAGGAGAAGAGAAAATCGCTTGTTCCGCAATCTAGCTGCTTTTCGCAACATAAGCTCATAAGCTTTCGAAGCTACACAGTCCATTGCAGTTTTAAAATTTCCCAATTCCCAATGAAAATAAAGGAAAATATTATGACAAGAATCAGACCACAAAAGGGAATTCTTGATGAAAAAAAAAACAGTCTTTGAGGTATTTATTCGTAGATTCCAAGGTTGTACTTAGGAGAGATTTTGGTTTGAGATGGACAAAACAGGCCTCAAAGTGTTAGAATAAAGAAAGGTTTCTTTCGTGACGTAGGTCTGGATAAGGAAAAACTACTTCACTTAATTACTCATTAAAACCTACCACATGGAGCAAGAGTCAATAAAGGACTTAAGACAGTTAGTAAGTTGACTTAAACTGGAAGCAATTTTTATAAAGAGCTCTTACTCCTTTTTTCAAAACTGTAAATAGTCGTTATAAATGAATGCCTCAAATTGTTGGACCTTCATTTTTATGCGTGTATTTCGTTTTTTTTCTAGCACGTGATTTATGCTTGGTTCGCCCCTGAAACATGCCCCCACCCGCCTAAAAACGCAGAACTACAATAGCAACAACAAAAATGACATACAGACAAAAAAGGAAAAGAGAAAATCGCTTGTTCTTCAATCTAGCTGCTTTTCGCAACATAAGTTTTCGAAACTACGCAGTCCATTGTAGTTTTAAAATATTCACCCAATGAATTGTCAACATAAACTTTCGAAACTACGCAATCCACTGCAGTTTTCAAATATTCACCCAATGATAACATTAGGAACCCTGCCTGAGCTTCAAATCGCTAAACTGCTCACTGCAACAGAATTGTATAGAGTCGAGTCAGCTGCTAGTGAGGCCACTACGTTTGTCTATTGACAACATGAACACGAACGTATGACTGAGTAACAAAACTGTTTTATGTGCAATGTGCTTATGTAAACTCACCGATGTTAATTCAGGAACAGGGAAGGTTTCGACCAAGGCAAGGAGCAAAAGGAAATGAAAGGACTTCATTCCGCTCGAGGAAGTGGAAAAAGTATAAAACTTCGATTGCGTGCAGGATTAATGCAAATGCGATTGAGTGTCTGAGACTATTTGTTGGCCTTTATAACCTTTTGTGCGTCTAAATTTAGTTTTATTAGTTCCGTGCCCTAGCCTGTAGTTGTCAAGAAGCACAAACCGATTGCCATTGGATAAGCGCCATCAATTAAAATAAAGGAGAATATTATGACAAGATTCAGACCACTAAAGGGAATTCTTGATGAAAAAAAGAGTCTTTGAGGTATTTATTCATAGATCCCAAGGTTGTAATTAGGAGAGGTTTTGGTTTGACATGGACAAAACAGACCTCAAAGTGTTAGAATGAGGAAAGGTTTAATTCGTGACGAAGAACTGGATAAGGAAAAACTACTCCACTTAATTACACATTAAAACCTACCGCATGGAGCTAGAGTCAATAAAAGGTTTGAGCCAGTTGGCATGTTGACTTAAACAGGAAGCAGTAAGCAAGCATTGTATCATCAGGGGTCTGTTTAAACAGAGATATTCAAAGTGTTTGCTGCGTGTCATAATTTAATCCTTTCATCACAAGTTAAAGGTAAATTTTCCTCAATTCTCACACAGGCAAGTTATGCGCTTGATTCGAACA